ATTCATCAAAACTTCATTGAGTAAAGTCCCAACCTGTCTAGCCTTTGAAGACAATCCCTCCATACCAGGGATCATCCCCGTAAGCCTTCTTTGAATTGTCTCCAATTAAATGATATTTTTCCAGAAGGGAACGAAAACATCTCCTCGTACTCCAGATGTAGTCTCACTAGCACTTTGCGCAGTTCCAGTAAGACTTCCCTATTCTTATACTCCAAACCTCTTGAAATAAGGGCCAACATTCCATTAGCCTTCCTGATTACCTGTTGCGCCTTTGTGCTAACATCCTTTGTGTTGCAGCTTTCTGCAGTTTTTTTTTCCATTTAAATAATGCTGTTCTTTTGTTCTCCCTTCAAAAATGAACTTCACATTTCCCCACATTACACTCCATTTGCCAACTTTTTGCCCACTCAGTCTATCAATATCTCTCTGTAAACAGTTTTAATCCCTCTCACAACTTGTCTTTTTACCTATTTTTATGTCATCTGCAAATTTGGCTACAGTACATTCAGTTCCTTCCTCTAAGTCATTAACGTATATTGGAAACAGTCGTACTCAGCACTGATCCCTGTGGAACCCCATGGTTACAGGCTGCCAACCTGAAAAAGAATGACTTATCCTCACTTGCTATTTCCTGCTCAATGTTCAATGCTAATATTCACGCTAATACACTACCTCCAATGTCTTAACTTAGAGTGGCACGGTGGCTCAGTGCTTAGAACTACTGTTGCAAAGGACCAGGGACCTGAGTTCAATTCCAGCTTCGGGTCTATCTGTGTAGAGTTTACATGTTCTCCCTGTGTCTGTATGGGTCTCCCCTGGGAGCTCCAATTTTTTCCCACAGTCCAAAGATGTGCAGGTTAGGTGGACTGGCCATACTGAAATTGTCCATGGTGTTCAGGGATGTATACTAGGTGGATTAGCCATGGTAAATGTAGAGTTATGGGATATGGTAGGGGGCTGGGTCTGGGTGGGATGTTCATCAGAGGGTTGGTGTGGACTTGATGGGCCAATAGCCTCCTTTCACACTGTAGACATTCTATGATGCTAACTTTCTCTCAGGTACTCTGTCGAACGCCTTTTGGAAGTCCGAGTACAACACATCTACTGGTTCCCCTCCATCCACTCTGGTTGAGACTTCCTCAAAAAACTCTTCCAACTTAGTCAGACACGACGTCCCTTTCAAAAAGTTGTGCTGCTTCTGCTTGATTAGATTATGGTTTTCAAAATGTGCTGCTATTATTTCCTTAATAATTGATTCCAACAATTTTCCAATAATAGATTTTAGGCTAATTGGCCTGTAGTTGCCAGCTTTGTGCTTGCCTCCTTTTTGAACAGGTGTGTCATACTGACAGTTTTCAAATAGACCAGTACTTATCCACAGTCCAAGATTTTTGGAAAATTACAACCAATACATCCACCATCTCTGTAGCTACTTCTTTTAGGATCCTAGCATGCAAGCCATCAGAGCCAAAGGACTCACTGCCTTTAGCCCCATTAGTTTGTCTAATACTATTTCTCCAGTGATGGTAATGGTACTTAATTCTTCCCCATATTCATCAGTATTAATGGAATGTTCAAAGTATTTTTCACCACTAAGATTGACGTAAAACATCTGTTTAACTCCTCTGCCACTTCCTTGTTCCCCATAACTAATCTCCCTAGATTCATTATACATGGGGGTCTATGTTCACCCTGATTGCTCTCTTCCTTTTTATATATTTAAGAAAGCTCTTACTGTCACTTTTTATATTCCTCACTATTTTGTCCTCATGGTCTATTTTCTCTCTATTATCGTTTTAGTCCTCCTTTGCTGGATTCTGAATTTATCCCAGTCTTCAGAGATATCACTGGCTTTTGCCTCCTTATATGCTTTTACTTTCAACTTAATACTCGCTTCAACCTCCTTGGTTAGCTCCTGCTTGCTTAATATCATTCCTTTCAATCTATCTGCCCAGTTCATTTTAACTAACTCTGTCCTCAATTCATTGTAGTTCCCTTTATTTAAGTTAAACCCATTGCTCCAACCCAGGTGAAGGCAATGAAGGTGGCGCAGGCAATGGCTGAGTGGTCTTATTGTTGACTGTTAATCTAGAGACCCAGGTAATGTACTGGGCACCTGGATTTGAATTCTGCCACGGCAGATGGTGGAATGTGAATTCAATAAACATCTGGAATTAAGAGTCTAACAATAACCATGAATCCATTGTCAATCGTCAGGAAAAACCCATCTGATTCACTAATGTCCTTTAGGGATGGAAATTGCCATCCTTACCTGGTGTGGCATTCATATGACTCCAGACCCACAGCAATGTGGCTGACTCTTAACTGTCCTCTTGGCAATTAGGGATGGGCAATAAATGCTGGCCCAGCCAGTGACGTCTCATCCCCTGAATGAATAAAAAAAAGCTTTCTCTCACTCAAAGTGAATAATAAAATTCTACCATGTTATGATCACTACTTCCTAAGGGATCTTTTAATCTGAGGTCATTTATTAAACCTGCCTCATTACCCATTGCCGGATCCAAGATAGCTTGTTCCCTGTCGATTCCATGACATATTGCTCTCGGAAACCATCCTTAATGCACTCTATGAATTTGTTGTCGTAGCTGCCCCTTCCAAGAAGAAGATTAATTTTTACATACTCATATTATTTGTTGATTTATGCTCTTAGTGTGGCTACTATTTGGGGGTCTATAATTTATTCCTACCTGTGTCTTCTTTCCCTTGCTGTTATTTACCACCACTCAAATGGACTCTACATCATCTGAGCCTAGATCATCTCTCACAACTGGCTTCATTTCATCTCTATTAGTAGTGCTACACCACCATCTTTTCCTTCCCTCCCACCTTTCTGAAATGTCAAATTTCCTTGAATGTTAAGTACCCAGTTCTGATTTCCTTCTAATCATGTCTATGGCTATGAGACCATATACATTTACCTTGATTTGTGCCATTAGTTTGTTTGTTTTTTTTTCCTATTTTTTAATCATTCTGACTTTTACTTGTACTGTGACACATTTGCCTCTCACCCTTGATTACCCTGTTTACAGTTTTTTGCACTTTACTGTTTTTTTTTTATTAGCATTGTTGTTTCTCTTTCTGTTGTCACCCTGCATGGGTTCCGAACCCCTACCATTCTAGTTTGAACCTACCCTAACCACACTAGCAAATACTTGCCTTAGGTCATCAGTCCCAATCCTGCCCATGAGTAATCTGTCCAGTTTGTTACTGGTTCCACCTTCTTCAGAACCTGTCCCAATGTGCTAGGAATCCAAACCCTCCCTTAGCATCTTTCCAGCCACATATTCAATTGATATCCTGCTATTTCTACTCTGACTAGCATATAGCACTGGTAGTTACCTTTAACATACTTGCATTTTTTTTTTCCTTAATCAATTCCCTGTTATAGAGAGTGGGGTTCCCACAGGTTCAAACAAGGACCACAATTTTGCCTAAATAAAAACTGAAAGAACTGCGGATGCTGTAAATCAGGAACAAAAACAAAGTTGCTGGAAAAGCTCAGCAGGTCTGGCAGCATCTGTGAAGACAAATCAGAGTTAACGTTTTGGGTCTGGTGACCCTTCCTCAGAATATCTCTAGTTAGGAAAATGTTGATTTATAAGCAGAAGATGAGGTGGAGGGAGGGGGTAAGGATTAAGCGATAGGTGGGGATACAGCCAAAGAGGGAGAAGAACAGTTGGACAGACAAAGGAGTGGATAACGATCTGACACCTTAGTCCACTCTTCATTCATTCCCAACACTCCACCCCCACCCCCCCACAGTCCCATGGCACCTTACCCTGCAACTGCCAAAGGTATAATACCTGCCCATTTACCTCTTCCCTCCTGCAGTTTCCATGGGCTCAAACATACCTTCAAAGTGAAGCAGCACTTTACCTGCAGTTCTCACAATCTAGTCTTCTGCATTCGCTGCTCACAATGTGGTCTCCTCTACTTTAGGAAAATGAAGCATAGACTGGGTGACCGCTTCGCAGAACATCTACATTCTGCTCACAAATGTAGCTGAGCTTACAGCTGCCTCCCACTTTATCACACTACCCCTTTCCCTGGCCAACATCTCTGTCTCAGGCTTGCTGCAGTGTTCCAGCAAAGCTCAGTGCAAGCTGGAAGAACAACACCTCATTTTCTGCTCAGGGACCCTGCAGCCCTCCAGACTCAATAATTTTAGGGCCTGAACTGTCCCATGTCCCAGTCCGCTACCCCACACACCAGGCCTTGTTGTCACACAGTGTGTAATGGTAGACTATTGTTAGTCACTAACACTCTCCATTAACAGCTATTCAACCTCCTAGCCAGATCATTATCCACTCCTTTGTCTGTCCAACTTCTTCTCTCTCTTTGGGCTCTATCCTTACCTTTCATTTACTCCTTACCCCCTCCCCCCATCCAATCTTTTGTATATAAACCAACCTTTTTCTAGCTACCATCAGTTCTGAGGAAGAGTCACCAGACCCGAAACATTAACTATGATTTCTCTTCACAGATGCTGCCAGACCTGCTGAGCTTTTCCAGCAACTTCTGTTTCTGCGACTATTTTTCCTGCTAAGTATTAATCACAAAGGCTCAAGTGTACAGTGCATAATTTCAAAATTTGTACACAACAAAAAGCCTGGAGGTATTGTGAACTATGATAGAATTCAAAAGGACATAGAGAGGGGCTGGTGAAATGGGCTAACAAGTGGCAGATGAAATTGGTTGCACAGGAATGTGAATGAATACACTTGAAGAAGAGCAAACAACGGCAATATAAAAATATAAAAAGCCGAGTTGCTATTGTGGATATGATAGCCTGAATGGCCTTTTTATGTGTCACTTGCATTCTAAACTCATGGTTTGGTCCGTTTTCATTGCTTTTGAGTAGTGCAGGACATCAAGTACAAGCAATTCCTGTTTAAAGCCAATCTGAGCCATGTTTTTAACTTTATTTTCAGAACTTATGTCTTGTAAAATGATGCACTGTATTTTTTAAAAAATCTTACCATGTTTTTTATTGTCCAGCCACTCTCCTGTATACTCGTCCCCGCCTAATGAGTAGACGGTGCTTTTTAAACCGTTTTTCTGCGCAATTCGATCCCACTCATGCCACCGATTTTCTTTGGGCTTCCGAGGCCTCAGAAATGGCATATTCTTTTATTACAAAAAAGCAGCTATGGAAGGATTTACTTGTGAGAAGGAGGCAAAGTGTTGCACACTGCCGGAAGAAGGAGAGGAGGCCGAGACTGGGTCTCTTTAGCTGTCTTTCACAAGACGAGTTTAATGGAAATGGACCCGTTTTCACTCGAAAACCCTTGGCAAGTAGTTATCGGAAAGACCTGCAGAAAATCGGCAGTCGTGCATATCAACAACAGCGAGGCTACAACAGGATGTTTAACAACAATCCCCGCTGTCGCTGACGCTCCTTGTGCGATAGTGTACGGCCTGTTCCTATAGCAACGGAGACGGGCCTTGTGATTCGTCATGTGCGTTTTTTTAGCAAAACGGGGGGAAAAGAGAGTAAAAAAGTGAAAATACTGTCAAACCAAAGTTTTTTTTGATAAAAAGAGAAGTCATTTGATAGAATAAGTCGTGTTTTGCCCCATTACCCCACCTGTGGGAAATAACATTAAAGCCAGCAAGAGGTTGCTAACCTTTAGGTCTGAACAGCTCTATTATTTAATGCGAGCTGTTGGATATTCACTCACAAATGAAGCAGTTCACACAACTGCTAATTTTAAAAAAAAACAAAATGGTAAATGTAGAGACCTGAAGAGTTGAATAAATTCCTAGTACTTTCTTCAAATGGTATGCATCTTACACAAAGTACAGTGGATAAGAGACAACAAGGTGCAGGGCTGGATGAACACAGCAGGCCAAGCAGCATCATAGGAGCAGAGTTGGCCTGCTGTGTACGGGACGTTTCCCGATTTCTGTCATTGAAATGTTTTTATTTATTTTGGTAATTCTGATCACTCAAAGATTAATTTGAAATCATTATCTCAAATTTCCCCCCAACCATCTTAAGGTACATTTTCAAAGGGGAAATTGTTTACATAAATGTGTTCCAATTAAAGTTTTTGAGAATGAGAGATAGTAGGAACTGCAGATGCTGGAAAATCTGAGATAACAAGGTGTAGAGCTGGATGAACACAGCAGGCCAAGCAGCATCATAGGAGCCGGAAGGCTGACGTTTCGGGCCTAGACCCTTCAGTAGAAGACTGGTAGCTAGGGTTGTGAATAAGGTTAGAGACATGCTTGCCGATCCGGTGGATTTAGTTGCAGGCATTTCGTCACCCTGCTAGGTAACATCGTCAGTGCGCCTCCAGTTAAGCATCGGTGTTCTGTCCCGCTTGTTATTTATATGAATCGGTTTGCTGGGATGTTGGTATTTCTTCTGGTTCTGTTTCTCAGTGGTTTGTACACAGGGTCTAATTCAATGTGTTTGTTGATGGAGTTCCGGTTGGAATACCAGGCCTCCAGGAATTCCCTAGCCTGTCTCTGTTTGGCTTGTGTGATTATGGATGTGCTGTCCCAGTCAATATCGTGTCCCTCCTTGTCTGTGTGTAGCGAGACAAGTGAAAACTTTTTGTGTCTCTCGGTGGCTAGTTGGTGTTTGTGTATCCGTATTGTCAGTTTTCTTCCAGTTTGGCCTATGTAGTATTTCTCACACATCCTTGCATAGTATTTTGTATATTACACCAGTTTTGCTGGTTTTGGGTATGGGATCCTTTACTTTTGTCAGTAGCTGTGGTAGGGTGATGTTGGTTTGTGGATTACTCTGATACCTAGGAGCCTGAGTAGTCTTGTGGTCCTCTCTGAAATGCCCTTGATGTACAGTAGGGTGATAAGTGAGTCTGGTCATTTTCTATAAGCTTATTTTTGAGTCTGAATTATCATTATGCTTTTCTTATTCTTGCAGTGAACTGAACTATATTACGGGAATAGGAATAAGTTTACAGAGGTAGGCCATTCAGTCCCTTGAGTTTTCTCCAAACCCACCAGCTTGGCGAGCATATCTACAACCTCATACATTCCAATTAGTCAAATGACACCAGGTAACCAGATCAGTGGGAGTCATCAAAACTTCATTTTCAGCTGAATGTATGGTGATTTTGAGTCATTTCTGATCAAATTCCAAAATAATTGAAGTATGAATTGGCTACAATGAAAGTAAATGAACCAAATGCTCAAAACAACACTGCAGAGTTACAAGTATAAAATCATGAGGGGCATAGATAATGTGAAAGTAAAGGTCTTTTCCCTAGGGTTGGGGAGTTCAAAACTAGAGGGCATAATTTTAAGGTGAGAGGTGATTTAAAAAGGACCTGAGGGCCACTGTTTCACACAGAGGGTGGTTTCTATGTGGAACTGCCGGAGGAAGTGGTGGATGCAGGTGCAGTTACATTTAAAAGTCATTTGTACAGGTACATGAATAGGCATGATTTAGAAGCATATGGGCCAAACGCAGGCAAGAGGGACTAGTTTCGTTTGGGAAACTTGGTCAGTAAGGATGAGTTGAACCAAATGGTCTGTTTCCATGCTGTACGACTTAATAAATATTGATACTATGGAGCACACTATAATACCAATAATGGAGATGTGGTTTGGGTTTGAACAGAACTGAGAATTTAACATGCCTGAATATAACATTTTCATGAGACAAGATGGAAAACAAGCCAGTAGGGTTTGTATAGGATTATATTAAAGGACTGGAATTTAAAGATTACGAGTTGTGTTAAGATAAAATTAATAAGAAAATTAACGTACACAAAGAAGTTATGCAATGCTTGACATGCATTATAGGCCACCAAACAGTGAAGATGTTTGACTGATTGATTTTATTGTCACATGTACCAAAATACAGTGAAAAGCTTTGTTATTGAGCGGTACAGGCAGATCACAGCAAGCAAAGGATGTACAGATCAAAAAGATTTAGAGGCATGCAGGTTACATTATTTGATTTAGTATTTAAGTTTAAAAGTGTAGAACGATTATAAGAAATGTTAGAGTTAGATCTGCTATAGGAGCTCGCAAGGAGTTGTCCGCTGTCAGCACCATTCACCATCTTGCATGGAAAGGAAATACAGTTGAAAGATTAGGAGAATAATTGGGAAATAGTGATTACATGAGAAAATAACATTGATTAGCCATAATCTAGAATGGTGGAGCAAACTCAAGAGACTGAATGGCCTACCTCTATAATCTTATTCCTATGCCCTTAACATAGTTCAGTTCACGACAAGAATAATAAAAGCATAATGATAATTCAGACTCAAAAAATAAGCTTATAGAAAATGACAAAGCTCAGCAAGGTAACGGTGAATCTGGTCCAAATTACATAGTAGGAAAGTTAGCCTATCTTTTCCCCCTTTATTCATTCTCTTCCCACGTACATTCATGATTCTTTTAATACTTTATGTCAGTTCCACAATTGTCACTTTTCTGGCCCTACTCACTGTTTCTTCATTATGAACGTGTAATCACTCTGCATGTCCAGCCCCGATTAGGATGGTCTGAAGGCTCACTGCTACTTCCTTGAAAGGAGGCCTGAACAGTCCCCGTCCATCACCAACCTCCTTGACATGGCTGAGCTTGTTCTCACTTTAAACAACTTTTTCATTAACTCGTCTCACTTTCTCCAAGTCAAAGGTGTGGGTGTACGTACCACCATATGTCCCGGCTATGCCTGTCTCTCTGTGGGGTTTTTGAAACATTCCTTGTTCCTGTCCTACTCAGGTCCTCATCTACAACTCTTTCTCTGATACATTGATGATCTGTGCATGCACAGTTGCACCCGTGACATCACATCAACATTACATTAAATTTTAAACTAGTTGTAAGTTCTGGGAAATCACAATGGCAGTTAATACTCAAATTGTAAATTTATTTGGAAATCAGTGTTCTGTTTACTATTAGTCTAGTCACTACATGTGTACAGCTCAACATTAAAACTGTAACTTAACAAGTCAGATTGCAAGGAACTTCCCTTTTGCAGACATTTATGTTTGTGTTTTATTCACAAACAAGCAATTCAACATGGAAACATCACTTTATATTCCCAAGATAAAGCAAGTGTGTCTATTTACTCCCAAAAAGTTTCCTCATGCACTCTTGCCAAAGGTTAAAAAAAGGAATTTGATTCTATTACTTGTGACAGAACCAACAAACTGATGCTTGGGATGCTCCCAGTGCCAAAACTCAACTGATCTATCAGAATTTGACAGATCTTGCATTACTGAACAAAGTTATTAAAACTGAAATTTGTGTCTTGTTGTCTGGGTGAAAGCTTGGGTAAATTGGGAAACAGTTCAACCTTCATGAAGCTAGATGCAAATAGGGATTTTTGGAATCATTTTATTTCATTCACAGGATTAGGACATCGCTGACTAGGCCAGCAATTGCCCACCCATAATTGCCCAGAGGGCAGTTAAAAGTCAACCACATTGTTGCGGGTCTGGAGTCACATGTACACCAGACCAGATAGGAAAAGCAGATTTCCTTCCCTAAAAGACCTTAGCAAATCTGTTGGATTTTTTTCCCACAATTGAAAATGGTTTCATAGTCAGCATTAGACTCTTAATTTCAGATTTTTATTGAATTCAAATTCCAACATCTGCCATGGTGGGATTCAAACCCAAGTCCCAAGAACATTACCTGGGTCCCTGAATTAACAGTCCAGCAATGATACCATTAAGCCATCACCTCCCCTACTACCCTTATCATCCCCCAAAGAAGCAGACAGCCTACATAACATCATGATGAGGTTTGGCAACTACCCATCAATGAAAAGTCTACATCATTCACAATATTCATTACATTGTTTGGGAGGTTTGGCTTCAACAGATTACCTTTCCGCATCACATCAGTTCCTGAAATCTCCTGGAGGACAGTGTCAAGGATTGTAGAAGCACTGGATGGAGTCATATGTTACATGGATGATGGCTTGGTCCATTCAGACAAAACATGACACTAGACTGTGAGTTTTGCCAAAATGCCTACACAAAACAGGAGTTAGACTTAAGTACAAATGCAAATTCTCACTGACTATCATAGTGTGGATACTTCTTGTGTTGGAGTTGATACACAGAAGAAGAGAGCAATCAAGAATGTTCCAGCCCCTCAGAATTTGACTGAGCTCCAGAGGTTCTTGCTGTAGTACACCAAAACAGAAAGTTCTTGCTCAAAGTAACCGTTATAAATGAGACACTGTGATGAAAAACTGTTCATTCTGAGAGTCCTGGTATGTAACAAAAATTGCATCAAAACCATCTGGGTATCACAAAATGTCATACCAAAAGCAAGATTTTCTGTTAGGTGGCTAGGTTCCTGGAATCTTCAGAAAAGATCACATGAAGTTGTATTACTTGTACTATTCATTGTCAAGAGACAAGGGAACTTATTGTCATTATCTTTGCATCATGTCCGCAGGACCATCTTGGGATGAAACTCTGAAGATATTAATAAAATGTTCTTGATAGTAGTGTACTGTTACTCCACTTGAATAGAAGCCAAGTAACTGCAGAACCACATGTCTGAAGATCTTTCCACGACCTGAAATCTGGGCATCAGTGGCACTGCACATGCTCATATGACTGGAGTTAGTGCAGGCTTCTGGTTCCAGACAAGCATCAGTGGCACTAACTTACTGTGCCAGTTCGGTGGCAGGAGATACATTGGTAAAGGGCTTACTGTGCCAGTGCAGCAGCAGGAGATACATCAATAAAGGGCTTACTGTGCCAGTGAAATGGCAGGAGATACATCAATAAAGGGCTTACTGTGCCAGTGCAGGGCAGGAGATACGCAGATAAAAGGCTTACTGTGCCACTCTGGTGGCAGGATGGAGTTAATGATTTCCTAAGCTCAGTAGACTCCAGCCATGACTGCGGCCTGTTGAGCTGCCAAGTATCTTTGCCCCCTGCCCTGCCTGGGTAGGATAAAGCAGGCAGTTTGCAGGAGAGTGAGGTACTGCTGCAGTGGGCTTGGCTGACGTCACGGAGCTATCCCAGCAGTCCCGGTGCAGCGCATGTATTGTGGAGCCGGGTGGACAATGTCATTGTTGAGGTGCCAGGCTGAATGGGAAGAGTTGGATAAAGAATTCAAACAGCTGCAGGTAAACGGCAGCATCTAGTCCGGAGGGATTGATCCTGCGAAGCGGAGGCGATTGTCTTTTATTCGGCGACCTCGCTCCATCGATGTTTTTTCTGAAGTGGGTTAAATTGTCCTCTGAGGCAGATCTTAGTGTTCGTGTCACATTGGGGCTGGGGCCCCCTTTGTCTCAGCCTCCTTGTAGAACCAGCTTTTAGCAAGGTGGAGACTAGCATGCTTTTGTCGATCAAATAACGGTCTATATTGTATTTTAATGTGGCCTTTGAACCATTTGGCTATAAATCTCTGCTAGCTCCAACCAGCCGCTGCACCATGTTGGAGAATATTGTATTTAACATATCCTGCTAGTTGATTCTGTGCACGTTATTGTACTGCCAATTCATTTTATTGCCAGCACATAATTTCTATGCAGTATCGTTTAGTTAAGAGCATCATGAAATATTTAAAATTGGGTGATTGAATCTATAGCCTTTTGATTATCAGGGTATAGTGCTATCAATGGTTTTAAAAACGGTACAAGGTACTTTTGAAAAAGTCTGGCTTGCAATTTAAGCATTTTTAGTTGGCTAGCAACTGACATTGAGGTTTGACTTTAGAGTATAGTATCAAGCAATTTACTATATTTAAAATCTGCTTTTGATAACCATACAAATGTTAAATGCAATTTTAAAACATAGTTTAAATTTGGAAATGTTAGCTCAGCTTGTTTGTTTGGTAATAACAGTCTTTAGGGTGTGATGATGTAGAATTTGCTTATTAATGAGGGTCTAAAATTGATATAGAAATCTAAAAATCAGTCCCAGAGTACCCTGAATAATGTGATGCACCTCAAGTTACTGAGAATCAATCAGGTTGTATGAAAGTATTATTGAGGTTTCCATAGCATAAGAACCTTTGCAAAAAAAAAGGAGCAGGAGTATGCTGTTTGGCTGCTCAAACCTGCCTTGCTATTCAACAAGATCGTAGCTGATTAGCCCCAGGCCTCAACTCCTCTTTTGTGCTGTCTCATCACAAACCTCAACTGCCCAATTATTTCAAAAATCTATCTACCTCTTATTTAAATATTTTCAGTAATCTAACCTCCACATAGCAGTACAGTTGTCATACTTTACAACTGTTTTAACCATGCAAAATACTGCTTTGTAAAATGCACGAAAGCATGAAGACCAATCTTAATGATAAATGTAGCAAAGGTTTATCTTTCAGCCCCAGAAACCAAAAAGTTCTGTGATAGGTTAACTACTCCAGGATTGAGCAATGATAAGTGAGATGGTTGTTTTTCAAGAAGAAAATCGGACACTATTTTCCTTCCTGATTACGATTCATTTGACCTGAAGAAAAAGCATGCATTTTTAAACCAGTGCCATTCAGATGTGGGACGATACTGCAGCAACAATCAAGTCCCTCATAAGAGGAGAGATTTAGAAACCAAAAAGCTGTTCAATTGAAACAGTTCCAACTGTTTACACATTATTAAGTTTCACATTCTGTACATGAACGGAAAGTTTTTTTTTCATTTTGTTTGTTTGAATAAATAATCTACTTATGAAACAGTATATGCTGTCATAGTTAATTACTGAGAATGTTCTGTAAAAGTCACAGATTAGGTGAGCTGAACCAAACTGAAACCAAATGCACTTTTGACACAATTGCTTCCAAATTTATTCATTATAATGGTCATGTCACATGGAGATAGCATAGATTTTACTTTGATCAGATCGAATCTGATCGTTACTCAGTAGTTCTTGTTTTTATCAATTGAGGTTTTTTGAGGACATAATTCAATGTCCAGTGGCAGTATTGTTTTATAATCAGGAATTTGTAATCAGTGATGGCAAGTGAAATTTTCATTACCTCTGGATCTCTAAATAACATTGACATTTTCATATATTTAATGTTCTAAAACCTGTCTCCTCATAAATCTGGATGTTGTTGTTTTCTCTTTCAAAATGTATTTACAAAATCTAAAATCTTGCATAACTGTGATATTCAAATATTATGGAAGGACAATTCAATGCAGATATTTCTTCTCGGTGTATTAAACGGCTGATGTAGGCAGAAATTTCAGAGACGCAGGTGAATGCTATCTGTTACTTATTCCTAACAAGTAATGTTGCACCAGGGTGTTTGGATGTCAATAAAAAAAATTGTGATGCTGTGTGTCCTAAAGAGCATATCTGTCTGATATGCTGGCCCAAGTTCTCTAAATGTGTGGAACAAAAATGAGAAGACAAGAGCTTGGCATAGCAGCTCTAACAGAATAGTGTTTGATAAGGGGGAGGTGCGTGGAAGCTACTCCTTGATGTTAGGCACGGAATGGGAGATTTTTATTTTTGACACGGAATGGGAGATTTTAAAAAAGCAAATGACATAGAACACAGCTGTCTTTTAGCCTATCTGGTAACTGCTGCATCAAATTAACTGCAGTTAAAATTGTAATGCACCATAATAAGACATATGCCCAAAGACTGGTAATTATTATTAGACTTGTTGCTATGATCCCAAAATGAAAGAAGTCTTTTTTTCCTTTTTGAAACTTTCTTATCTTACTTCAATGAGCATTTGCTCATTCCCAGCAAAAACAAAGGCCACACCTGCTGTGTCAAATATTTAATTAGGAAATAGGCATAAATTATTCTTTATTTTAATTTTGCAGGCAGATATTTTAATATTTTTTTCTTTTATTCATTCACGGGATGTGGGCGTTGCTGACCGGGCAGCATTTATTGCCCATCCCTAATTGCCCAGAGGGCAGTTCAGAGTCAACCACATTGCTGTGGATCTGGAGTCACATGTAGGCCAGACCAGGTAAGGATGGCAGTTTCCTTCCCTAAAGGACATTAGTGAATCAGATGTTTTTTTTTCCCAACAATCGACAATGGATTCATGGTCATCATTAGCTTCTTAATTCCAGCTATTTTATTGAATACAAATTCCACCATCTGCCGTAGTGGGATCTAAACCCTGGTCCCCAGAACGTTATCTGGGTCTCTTTTTAACAGTCCAGCTATAATAGCACTAGGCCATAGCCTCCCCTAGTTTAAACATGGATGTGTAGGATTTATTTCAATTCAACTCCAGGATCCTGAATAATTAAAAGAAAGGCTGCTTTGTCCCTGTACTCAAGTGTTTTAAATGTTACTAGAAGCTGTATTGGTATGTGGAGAGTATCACCACGTTCTGGAATTGTGCTTTTTTCAGACAGTTATTTGCTGCAGAACAGCATCTGATCTGCCCTTATCATCACAGTATTTATTTATGATGAGTCCAGCCAAATTTATGGTCAATGGTAACCCATAGTATGTTGATGTTGAGAAACAGTAAAACCACTGGATATCAAAGGAAAGTGGTTAGTCTTTTTTTCTGTTGGAGATGGTAATGTTTGAGCATTTGGTGGTACTGAACCTGTGCAATCATCAGCAACTTCCAACCTTCCCACTCCCTCATGATTATGATATGATTATTATATTTTTAATTTTCCTTCAAAGATTTTGTTTTGTTTTATGGTGATGTATAGGTCTGTTAGTGCACTAAACATGTATTGCAAGTATGAGTTACAGCGCATAAAGATTTCCTGACCAGAAGCAGGACTTTCAAGCTTCCGCACTACAATAGAAATTTACCCTTTTTATCTCCATAGCTGAGAATGGAAATGTTAACAATGATCGTATTTTACAGCTCAGATAAGAAAATTGAACATAATATGAAATATATTTTTATGAAATCAACATTTTAAAAAAAAAAACTAAGAAAATATCTTCTGAAATACTAAACTACACCAATCTATGGCAAGAGATTGGATACTATGTGAATTAGTACTCTGACTTTATGTCTTGGATTTCTGTAATGTGTTTGTATTTAACCCAGATTCACTTAATTATCTGATATGAGAAATAAGAAAAGCTAGAAATTGTTGCCCATTCTTAAATTGACCTCTAGATTACAAGGTAAACAAATATCCAATTTGTACAATTGAGTGGAGTGGCTTTCTTGGGACATTAAGACTGTGTTGTTGAGGATAGGTGTCACTTGTGAGCCAGCCCAGATGGAATAACATGTTTCCTCCCCTGTAGAAGCTTGGTGAATCAGTTGATTTTTATACGGTATGTCTGTTTTCATGGTAATATATTTTCGGGCCAAACCTCTAGTTACCAAGTTTGAATCTGAAAAAGAAACAAGTTAATCAGAAAAGTCGGATAAGAGCAAGCCAGAGACTGAAGTAACTCTGAAGAATTATACTGCATTTATATCAATACCAGGGGGTCTTGCAGGTAAGGCTTATGAACTCAGGGCATATTTGGGAACATGGGATTGGGATGTCATATCTATTACAGAAACTTGGCTGAGAGACGAGCAAGCCTGGCAGCTGGTTCTGGGTTTCGGATGCTATGGGAAGGGTAGAAAGGGAGGCAAAAGGGGAGGGGGTGTGGTCTTTTTGATTAAGGAAGACATTGCTGCTGTAACCAGGGAAGATATTTCTGAAATCGTATAGCGAAAATAAATTATATAGGTTGAAATTAGAAATAAGAAAGGAATGAACACCTTGATGGAATTGAACTATAGAGCCCCCAGTAGTCAGGAAAATTTGAGGAACAAATATGTCGAGCGATCTCAGATGTATGTAAGCATAATAAGTTTGCAATAGTAGTTTTTTCAATTTTCCAAACATTGACTGGGTTACGGTAGTGTTAAAGGTTTGGATGGTGAAGAATTTGTTAAATATGTTCAAGAAAATTTTCTTTATCAATATGTAAATATTCATGCTAGAAAAGGACCTTCTCTTGGGTAAAAAGACAGGACAAGTGACTAAAGTGATAGTAGAGGAACACTTTGAGTCTAGTGATTTGTAATTCTATTTGTTTTAAAATAATTGTGGAAAAGGATAAGACTTCCATAAAAGTTAAAGGTTTGAATTGGAGTAAGGCAAATTTTAATGGGATGAGCCAAGAACTTTCAAAAGTTAATTGGAATAGACTGTTCGCAGGTAAAGGGATGTCTGATAAG